TTCTCTGACTGCAAGTCTCGCTAGATCTGGGTGTGTTTCTGAGCGAATGACACAGGATGACACAGTTTTCCCATCATCTCGTATGAAGTACTGTAGCTCTGTTTCTAGGAGGAGAGGGGCAGAAACAGCTTTAGGCCGCACTGTGAACCTAGCCATTACAAATCCAATCCCAACAGTAAGAGGAGGGAGGTGGGCACTTCCTGCGATGCCGAGGTCTGTAGTGCATATTTCTGAGCAGCATAATGCGAAATAAATAAATCTGTGAGGTATTACGTCACTTGTTGTGTTTGTGTGTGAGGGGGGACTTTGTACCTGCTTATGTTTACTGCGGAAATAAACTCTCCAAATATCTCCAAATAATATGACTGAAAGCAGGAGAAACGAATGACTTTTTTTGACAGGTTTGGAGGCTTTTAATGAATACCGCTGCTGACAGAAAGGATGGCTTATTGTCTCTTTAAAACCCATGTGCTGGGGCTTTTTACGCACATTCACAGAAGAAATGAAAAGGGCGTGTTGCGCGTTTATTTCTTAACACTTTTTTTTTTGTTCAGTCCTTGTAGAGAGCAGGCTGCTATGGCAACCTGCCCCCTCAGGAAGCAGAGCAGTGGAGCAGGCTGGGTATTTTTGGCTCACCTGCCACACGTCTCAGGGGGTGGGGGTGGGAGTCTTCCAGCTAGGTGCCCTGTCTGTGCAGTATCATCCACAGTTCACTGCTGCACAGAAGGACCCAAAGGTGCATCTTTCTAATGGTTGACTTGTGTATTTCTCTAGTGACTTGCACAATTTGTCTTGGAAATTAATCCGAAAGACATTGCCAGTTGCATACTTCCCACCTACTCCTCTCTAGCGATTCGGCTTACACTTTAGTTGTGAGAGTGTTACTGACACCCAGAGCCAGTTCCGACGGCCACAACCTCTACTGGGAAGTTATCTTGGGGTAGCAATGTGCGCACTTGAGCAGAGGAAAAAAATAGATTTTCACACATTCTCTCCCGATCAGGGCAGGCACAGTACAATGTCTTTGCTTTATTTTCAGTGCAGAAAAGGCTGTGATGATTGCTGTGCCATTAACCAAGACATCTGGCTGAGCTCAGTTTTGAGATCGTCTCTGTTTCAGAAACAGAGAGAGAGAGGCAGCACTGATGCTGCCTGTTGAGAGGGTAATCTTAAAAACAAGGCATTACAGAAATTCACGGGATCCGAACAATTCAGGTATTTATCCATTTCCATGATAAAAAGGGATGCGTTTTTCCATTTCCGCACAGTTTCTTCCTGTTCATCGGCCTTGTCCTAATTGGAATTAGTGGCGGGATCACTCCAGTGCTTTGAAGCCTGGATTTCCCTGAGGGACTGAAAAGGGTCTCACAGATGGCAGCAGGAAGGAGAGGGGGATTGGGCTGGAGATCTGTCATATTCATTAGCCTGTTGTCTCCATGAGAGACTGCAGCCCATCTCAAGGGGAAGGGGGTGCTAACAGACAGCTCAGAGGAACTGTATCGCAGAGCTGCGCAGTGCAGTATGGAATGCTTACAGCACTATACTGTCTGGAACCCCAGAGAATAACTTCACATTGAGATACATGTCTAAATTGGGGCTCCCACATCATGGTTCAAGTTTAATGATGAAGAAGATGAAGCTTTATTTATATAGCACCTTTAAAAGTGTTTTCGCAAAGCTCTTTACAGGAAAACATACACAATGAGAGGAGACAGCAGAATGACACAGTTTCTATGAGGGTTTGGAATACAGTGGGAAAGCAAAGGGGCAGACACAGAACATACATTGATTTATTTCTCTAGATATACTGTATGGGTGCGTTATCTTATTGATACTGGTGCAGTGTCTGTTTAGATGGTGGTGTGTTCATTAGCTGAACCCTTTACCTTGCAGGTGTGCTAGTTGCCTTTCTTCTCTGATCTCAGATACACCGCTGAACTGATGTGAATGACATAAGATTCATCCCCTACTGAGCGCGGGCTGCTGGGATTCCTCTCCTGCAGTGGAGATTGAGGCATAGCAGCTATTGCAAATAAGCAAAGGTTTTAGCTGAGCTGAACTTCTTTTGTTATTTCTAGTGGCACAAATTTTCCATGGTTTATTTGGCTGACACTTTTATCCAAAGCAATGTACATTTGTATCCTCTTATTTAGCTGGGCATTTTACAGAAGCAAGCAAAACATACTGTGCTCAAGGGTACAACTTCAAAGTCTCACCTGGGATTTGAACCCACAGCTTTACAGTTACAAGCCTACTGCCCTTAAGCACTGTAAAGATTATCAATATTATCAGCTTTGAGACTCCTAAACCCCTTCAACACCAGCAGTGCCATAAATGGAATACATTATTGCAGAGATCAGAGTTTTTGGAATATCGAAACGTGAGTGTTTTCCATCTCTCCCATTTCACCTTTCTCACACTGCCCCGATGGTCACTAATGAAAATCATTCAAGTCTGAGAGGCAGATAGGTCGATATGTGGGCGTATGGTATGGCGACCCCTCTCTCAAAACGTTTGAACATCTGTCTTCTTTAGTGTACCTGGGACTTGCTGCTCTTGTCCATACTGAAGCTGAAGCTGTTCAGGCAAATGCCTCTGCTGAGAATGGAAGAGCAGGTCGGCTTCAGGCTGGAACGCTCTTATCAGGAACTGAAACGGGTACGAAAGATTCAAAGATTTATTAACAGACATCCGCCATACTACCGCCGCACGCCTCTTACTCCCTAGAAGAATATTGCAGATATTGTCATCAGTGCCTGCAGGGACAGGGGATTCCCAGAGAGGCTCGAGGCTTTGCAGTAGGAAGGCTTTGATCCCTTCTTAACTTAATTCATGCAGATCCCATTAGCAGGCGCCTTCTTGTGCAGTATTCAATAGATTGAATTTAAAGGTTGCACAGAATACTCCGCCAGCCAATTACAATCAGCTGCCTTGCTCTTCACTTGTTAAAATGTCACCCTTTCTTGCCATAACACACAGGTCTAATGATGAGAAACCTTCCAGCTGCGGTACAGTAGCAGATAAGATTTACATTCAACTAGGTGTAACTGAGCAAAGACTGTAAATGGGGCTTTGTCATTGATTCGGCTGTCTCAGTTTTTACATTTGGACCTTGTCTGTCCACAATTTAAATAAGCTGAGTTACGATTCAGTTTTTGTTCAGGAAATGGGTGGGTAGCTCCTCCCCGGGTCTCTTCATGGTGTCCAGTTTGGACAAATCTCATCGTCCCAGTGGAAAGACTAAAACTGCTTTTTACCGAGAGGCCAGAGCAGCCCATGTTGACATCTGTGTGTCCGTGTGTCTCATGGAGAGCAAACTGGGGTATGCGAAAAAGATGAGTTCCTAATGCAAGACATTGTATAGGGCTAATAAAGTGATGTTATGTTATGTTATGTTATTAGCATCTGCTGGAACTAACGCTTGGAAACCACAGACACATACTGTACCAACTATCCCCACATTCACCTGGGTAATTCAACATTGTGTTTTCTTTCTTCTTTTTTTCAGCATGGATTAAACCTATTACTTGTTCCTTTTCAACTGGGTAATTCCTAGCTCTGCACCGAGTTATGTGTTCAGAGCCTTCAGATGTGCGGGGAAAGGGAATACGGTTTCTTAAGGCTTTTATTGCGATGACGGCTCCCCCCCTCGATTTCCGGCTGCTGTTTTGACTACGTTACCCTTTGCGAGTGTGGTACGGGTTGCCCGCAGACCCTGAGCTGGCTGCCTTAATCCTGCCAGCGACTGCGCAGGAATGTCCTTGGAGACCAATCGGCATGTCAAGGACAGCTGCTGCAGGAGGCAGCGAGTGGAGCCGCCCAGCGCTGCAGATGGGCAGGCTCAGTGCGCCGCGCAGCCGGGAGATTCGCTTGTCCACCCTCCTTCACTGTGTGTGTGTGTCGCCGGGTTGTTTTTGGGGATGGGCGTTTAATCTTTAGTTCTGAAATAGACGACGTGCACCTGTTCAGCTCTTAGGCTCTCCTTGTAGACCAGTGCATTCTGCGACTGGCCACTCCTCCGGCTCTGAACGCGTCGTGTTTTTGTGATGAAAACACCATCATACTGTATGGATGGTGGAAAGAAGTCATTTGACCTTTAGAGTGAGGTTTTATTTCTGCTCAATTTGTTAATCAATATTTTTGTGTATATTTTGCAGACTGATATCATTACATATCAGTATAATGACGTTATTTTTTCCAGATTTGTATATTCGGTTATGCGAGGCTCACCCTTTCGAGAAATGTTGCTCTGAGCTTTGAAAGGTGCCGGGTATCTTAGAAATTTCACGTTTCTGGCGTACTTTTGCAAGGTGTCTGCGACGGATAATTTAAAATAAATGGGATTCGCAGTTGCTGCATAATCTTGAAGCGCGCAATTTCAAAATGTTGATTCAAAATTTAGCACTGGAGGAGGAGAAGTCTAGTGAAGAGTGTATGTGGTTCAGTCACCCTTTTCAATTTTTGTCTTATATTGCCAAGGGTCGTGAACTCGACCGGAACTGTGTTTGACTGAGAGTGCGCCATCTGCTGGCTAAATAGTGTAATTATTCTGTTCACCGAGATCTTTAATGTTGGTGTTTAAATGCGCTTATTACAGTATATGATTATGGTTTTTGTTTACTCCTAAATCACTTTAAAATTGTCTTTCACAGAGAAAAGTACAGGTACATTTCACGAAACACGGAAATTTAAGGCTAAAATCTTTACAAACAGAGCTAGCTTTCAGCAGTGTCAGGGAAAACAACAGGTGTCACCAGGGTCTGTTTGTGAACTGATCGTTCTCATTGTAGCAAACGTCAGTGTCTTCAAAGGAGCTGTGGTAATTCTTGTGAACATTGCTATTGGCAAGCCTGCCACCTTATGCCAGAACCAGTACCTAACTGTCCAATCTCGCAGTGTTCGGCAGTTCATTCATGCAGGGCTCTTAGAGCGTTTCTGCCTCTCTTTTCAGGTTAGACCTCTCAGAAGTTGTTTGAAATATAACATTAAAATGAGAGCGTGCAAAAATGAAAACAAAGTGAATCTGTTCGTCATTTTTGTCATCGATCATTGAGCTCTAAACAGGAGCAATGGGGGTATTTTACAACATTAACTTAAAATTGGGAGGAAGTCTGAAGTACTCTTGGACTATCAATCACCGGCCCAGACTGTACTGTGTTGTCTGTGGGAGTGATCAATTCACATGGTGTGTCCGAGTGTTTGCTGTGCACAACACATCTTAACTCATGCAGAGGCCCAAAGCCTGTTTTAGTGGAGTTAGAAGGTTCCTTCATGCCAGGGTTCTTAAATTCCTTTTCCTTTACTCACTTTGTCTCCCATGAAGGTGATGTCACTCTTTATCAGATTTTGAAAGTCGTCTGCCCTGTTTCTGGCTCACATTTCAAGTCTCACAGGAACGAAGCAGATGCACATGATACTGTTGTCTTACTTTTCTTGAACTTGCGCTAGAGAAAGAACAATTTCTTCACAAGGAATAGAAATGGATTAATTCTTCTGTAGTCTGCCTATCTGCAGGATGAAGAGGCAGAATCCACTGACAAGAGTCACAGGTGCCGTGCGGTGCACCTGAACACAGTGCTGTTTGTTTTCAGGTATAGGCGAAGCTCTGGAATGCAAAGATAGTGAACGTCTCTTCATTTTAGTGCTTTGCCGTTGAAGCACTATTCCTTTGCTTAACACAGATGTGTGTTAAAATATAAAAACAGCACCCATTATTATACGGTCTGACTGGGTTCTTTGGTTCAATTAATTAATTGTCTAAAACAATTGTCTTTTTCTAAAGCTTCTGAGAAGCCTGCTTGAACCAATCCTTCGCTGTGTAGGTGGTTTTGAGATTCAGTTTTGTTTGGTGAGATGAAATCACTAGCTGTGACTCACTACCTCTATAACAAATCTATGCCACCCTACTGTCTTCGTCCTTGCGTTTTCCTGCGAGAGCTGGACTGGAGTTCCTGGTTTAACCCAAGGAAGACACAATCTACACAATCTGAGAACGTAGTTCCTAAACTGTCTCCCAGTGGATCAGATTCCAGACTTATGATGTTAATGTACTTCAGAACCAGCTGTAGCACAAAATAAGCACTGTGATATCTGAAGCAACCATGTGGAGGAGAAAGATTCACCTTACCAGGACAAAGGAAAACAAGAAGCCTCTGTAAGTCTATTTTTAGCTGAGACTGAATATCTAAATATAGTTTATTCATGAGTGTATTTTATAGTAATATTTAAATGCTAGTCAGCTAGTAAATTTCTATTCAAAGCAAATGCAAGTAGTTGATGAACTTCAGTTTCTCTGGTACTAAGCTCTGTAAACAAGTTTGTACATGAACTCAGTCTCTCATATCCCATATTTGTGTTCTTTATGTCTGTGTACATGCAGCAGTTTCCCACACTGTATGCTTCACAGAAGTCTTGATGTGCAAGAGCCCAGCAGCTCCTGGGCACTCCTACAAATGACAGGGCCGACGTCTCCTTTTCTGCTGATCCTGACCGTGATGCAGCACTGCAGCCCAGCCCTGGCACATTGCTGATCTGGGTCACTAGCCTTCCCATTTACATCTCAGTCTTGGCTTGCTGTCAGCTGGGGCACCCGGGAAGAGACAGAGCTGGGCTGCTGAAGCCCTTGACGAATACTGTCATTAAGAAGTGCACTGGGGCTCGAAAGAGAGAGGAAAGAACGGTTTGACCCATTTGGCAAGGTGCGGTGCTGTAATGTGCTCACTGCGGATCCACCTTTCTTAAGAGAGCCCAAGTGAGTTGCCCACAATGCAGGGCAGGCACGATCTATGTAAGTTATTAGTACCTCCTCTTCTTTTCTGGTGCTGACCTGAGTATGACACAGCAAACACACATCACGATCACGGTCACAAAACCCACGTGTGCCAACTGCTGACCATTGAACGAGAGACCAGTCGCCGGTGCAATCATGTCACCGCTTCTTCTGCAGGATGTATGGGCGACAGACTGACGTTAAAATGCTGGTGCTTCCCTGCCCCTTGGGTTTTCTAAATAGAGATAGGATGTTAGATGCCTCTTTCATCCATTTGCTCCACTTTCGAGCCTCCAGGCTCAAATCTGCGGCCTCTGTCTCAGGGGTCGTGGGTAAGGGCTGTGTTCACACTTGCAAGCGGTCTTCAGCGGAGCAGCGATGCAGCTCTCGCTGACAGACCTGCACCCTCGCAGGCGTGACTGGCGCAGGGCCCTGGCTGAATCGAGCCCCTCCAACTCCAGCTGCACTCAGCAACTCGTGTCCTGCCCTCAGCGCAGCCCACTCAGTCAGCTAACAGCCCTGCAGCCCATACTCATTGGCGAAACCTGGACTGTAGGGCTCGACATGCAGAGCAAATAAGCCTCTTTCTGGTTGAGCCACTTAGTCTAATATTGATAAATAATAATAATATGAAGAAAGAAAAGCCTACTATCCTGGTAAACTCAGTTACTCAATGTTTGACATTACAATTAGACTAAAATGCAGTTTCTGACTTATATATGTTTCTTGTATTAGTTCATCACTCCTTCTTTTGTCTCTTGTACTGTCCCATGTGTCGAGTACATTTCTCCCAGTCAGCTGATTGCTCACGGTGGTGTGCTGGGACCTCTGTTTCTGTAACAAGAGAGACACAAGGCACTGAGGATGGGCTACAGGCTTTCCTGTGTACCTGTTTGGATTCTTATCTGTCCAGTCTGGTAGCTCACACTGTAGACCCCTGCTCAAATCAAACCTACTCAGTCAGTATCACTGAACCTCCAGCAAGTCAGAGACTTCATGACTACTGACCCAGGGAACACAACTTCAGAACAGTGGTTGGCGAAAGGTTGGGTGTGGATCTAATTAATTTAAATCTCTGCTCAATTTGGAGCAGATGTCTCATGTCGTGAATACAGGAGGGTGTTCTCTGTCCTCCTTAGTCTTTAAGGAAATTAAGATACACTTTTTCAAAATTCTTTGGGAGGACTTGCTCCTGAAATATTTGCAGAGTTAAATTAGTGTGTTATAATATTGTGTGAGGTATACTTTTCAGCAACCTTTACCTGTTCCTTTACAGCCTACGCATGCCGACACAGCTACATACTGAAATTAGTGTGATTGTACAATCACACTTAGAGCTATAGTACACACAGTGGACAGGAAAAGCTTAATCAAACTTTATTTCAGCCTAATTAGGAAACATTTCATAGTAATGTATAGCTAATGTGGGAACAGAAACTATACAGCTGGTTTTGCAATGTGTAATTGCTGAAATTCCTGTAATGTTTAACTCCCCTGGGACCATTTCATAAAAGGCTGTTTTTCTGATAGCTCATTTATTTTACAAATCACAGCTGTAGATGTCCAGAGAAGTTTTAAATGTCAAGGCAGACAGGTACCAAGTGCAAGAGTTCTCTTCCGATAAGATATCTCCTCCCGTTTCTGATTCCTAGTGCCGCATCCCACTCCTCTATAGTATTTTTAGTTCTATGCTAGAAAACGCCCTTCTGCCAAAATCATATTTTGAATCCTGATTATGACATTGACGGGAAGATAACAGAGCTTCCCAACACTCCATGCAATCCCCATGAATATAAGCTAATGCTTTTAATTAACTTAATTATTTTTAATTGTTTTTGATTAGAGTGGGATCTTTAAGCAATGACCCTGCTATGCTTTAGGGAGAAGAATTTCATCTCAAGGGCAAAGTCTCTATGCCAGTACTGTTGCCAGTTTTCACAAGCAGTGAATGTAAACACCTGCCCTACTATTTAGACAGCATACCTCAGGAATTATGTATCCACTGGCTCCAAGGCTGTATTTGTACTGAGACAGAAGGAAAAGTGGGTTCTTGTTAAGCACAGGTACAGAAAATGACATATGCTGGCTTCTTTCATTCTTTCATTTTCCAGTGCTGACTTCAGTCAGCCTCACCTAGTTGAAATGGAGAACAAGTACACAAAGGAGGATCAAGGATGATGATTTTTGCCACACTCTTCCTTGTACTGTACATTCTAAAGACTTTTAAAAATCAGATCCGAATGGGAAAAAAGTATCAGGCGTGTGTGTTCTTTCTTCTTTTTCTGCACATGTCTTTTCGGTGCTTGGTGACAAGGTAAACGGACATGACAAAGGATCATTTCCTTCCCTGGCCTTCTGTATTTCCATCATTCAAAGACACAGTCTAATAGAACTAAACTGAAATATTTATTTCAGAACATCTGCTTTTCTCACCGACTGGAATCACGATGTGTTCTTATTTTAATGCCTTTCAGTTTACAAAAAGTGTCTGCAGAGGTCGTGGCATGAAAGTGTTCTCATTCTGGAGGAACAGAAAAGTGACTTATGGTCGAATGCTGCTGCCTGAGCCATATTTGTATGTTCATCCTATCCTCCATCTTTGGCGAAATGCTGTTAGAATAGTGCTGTATTTAGTTAAAACAGAATGCGGTTTTGCACTGTATAATCATATTGTTTGTTCCTTCTAGATACAAAAGCCAGTGGTATTTGTCACATTCGTGACATTTTTCTAACCTACTGTACATAAACAAAGAACAGCACTTTTTGTCTGCTGTTTGACTCGGTGTGGTTAATAATCAGCTTAGTTTTAGGTACTGTATATTTCTGTCTTTCTTGCATTTTTACCACTTTAGTCATTTCCTCTATTTTCATTTTAGGGCAGAAAAGACAGAGGTATTGAGCGAAGACCTTTTACAGGTAAAACATTTTTACGGACTGTCTCTTAAAGTGAATTGTCTACCACCCTGTCGTAAAAGCAACTTGAAATGCAGGGATTCAGTAGTGATTCAGTAGTGATTTTTTTATATTACCACATGCAAACAATTAGTTAAAAGGGTAATTTCTTGGTTTTCCAGATGGGAAGAATTCAAACCTTAAATATCTGTGTGTGTCTCAGTGCTTTTTAGCTGTGGTGTCCATGTCACCCTTTGTTTTCTGTCTGATTGGCTGAGAGGAGCCTTTGTTCCCATTTGGACTTTTTCTCACAGGTAGAAAAACGGCTGGAGCTGGTCAAGCAGGTGTCCCACAGCACTCACAAAAAACTGACAGCATGTCTTCAGGGCCAACAAGGTGTGGACGTAGACAAGAGATCAGTGAGATCGCCCTCAGTACGTACCAGTATTGTGTGTTGCTGTCCAGCTCTGTCTCCTCAGCAGATCAGAGGGTTGAGACAAATCATGCTAGCGTCACATCGCAGATCAGGAGTGAAGAAGGGGGCGTGGTTTTATGAGACACAGAAAGAGACACAATGAGAAAGACTTATTCTTCTTCTTATTCTGAGTTTTCTTTTTTAATCGTTTTTGTTTTTCTTTCGATTCACAAATGTGGTAGCTTTATTGTGCAAGCCAGTGTTTATGTTACTTTTTAAAGTTTGAATTTACGTATTGATTGATGTTCAAAAAAGCTTTGCATCATCAGTAAAAGTGTGCATTTCATTTGTCTCTTAGAAAAAACTCCCCTTGACAACTCTAGCCCAGTGTTTAGTGGAAGGGGCTACAGTCCTGGGTGATGACTCCCTTCTGGGGTAAGACTGCCTCATCTCATCCAGAGCATGTCACTGTTCTCAGCCCACATATTAATAATGACCAGAATATACAGTACTTTGCAGGAGACCAGTTCTAAAATCATTTTTTGCAAATAAAATACTGAGAAGGACACCCTTATACTGCTATTTTTAAATTGTTAGGATTGTGCCATCTATAATACCTCTAAGAAAATATGCCAAAAAGAAACAAGAAAATAACTTTTTGTGTTAGTAATTTATTGTCAACTTCATGGGTCTTTTTTCCTTGCTTGTAACATCTTGTCATCCCATACAACTGGTCTGACTCTTTCCTATAGGAAAATGCTGAAGCTGTGTGGCGAGACAGAGGACAGGCTGGCCCAGGAGCTCATTCTGTTTGAGTTTCAGATCGAGAGGGATGTGATAGAGCCACTGTTCGTCCTAGCAGAGGTACATGGGATATTATTATACAGGCTCTGGAGGGTAGGCAGGTTCATCTGGAAATCAAGCCCAGATTATGTAGAATGTCACCACTGTACCTAATGCAGTTCTACAGATAATGTCAGTAATTCCTTCAGCCTTTACGAAAGTATAAGAAAGCTAAAACTATTACAATATAGTAAAACCACTTAATAAAACAGAACCTTAATTTTGCCCACTGTTGGAAATTTTGTATATTTTATCTGGTTTAATTTAACATCCTCAATATTGCACTTGTCGGCTTATTTGTTTCATCTTTTGATTATTATATACACTGTAAAGAAATATGTTTCTTTCTTCAAGGTGGAGATCCCCAACATTCAGAAACAACGGAAACATTTAGCTAAACTGGTGCTGGATATGGATTCTGCAAGAACACGGTAAGAGACCAAGGAACTTTTACAGCTTTTTTATGTGTTGCATTTTATTATTCATATCTTGTCAGATACTGCACTTCAGTGGTGGCTTACTACTGTCATATACCAAAGTCTTTCATCCCTTCTCCCAGAGGCCTGGTGTAAGAAGGTGGTGGCAGCCGTGTGTTCATTGCACAAGCATAGCCTCGTCATAGAAGAAATGATGTGGAAGGTAGTTAATGCCAGAAAAGCAGTGTTTTCCTGCAGGAAAAAGGGAATCTATTTTCGAATTGAAATCTCTGCACCAGAGTGGTGGTCCATAGAACTGTCAATAGAATTGCAGATTCCTTGATGACCTGAACAGCCTGAGATCACCCAAAAATCTGTTGTCCTGTCTAGGACCTATGACATGTGCAAAGTAAGCAAATGTGGGCCTAACCTCATTCCAGAATTGCCTTGCGTTATTTTAAAAAATATATATTTTGCCTTGTAAAACAGAGAGCTGTAAATCAGTTTACTCCTCCCCTTCTTGAAGCATTTGCAGAGTAAATTCATTTTTCTGCTATTGTTGTGCATCAGCATTTGTTAATATGGTTACTGCTTGTCTCCTCCAAGGTGGGGCTCTAGGAGAAGAGTCACGTAAGAGGAATCAGCAACACGGAGAGAGAGAGAGATTGTGGGGGTGGGAACTTTAACAGTTCCATCAGCTGCCATGCGCAGTATCTTTCCATTCTGCCTCAAAGCCTTCAGATTGATCCTTTCTGAAAGCCGTATGCAGAGTAAATTGTGGAAGTGGTGCTGTCTGCTCATGAAATGCCACAGTGCTCTTGCTCCACAATGGTGGCAGTGCTTTTGGCTCTGGACAAGATTGGCTGGGTCCCATGTGAGATCAGACAACACTGCTTTCTCTTTTCCGTGGTAGTTCACAGCATGTAACTGCAAGTTCATGACAGAAGAAGCAGCCCTGCCGATTTCCTGTATATAAATGAGATTATTACAAAGAGATTTCCTGTACTGAGAAGTGAAGTTGACTTCATGGTCTAGTGCCATCCTCTTCCTCGGTATGCTTCTGGCCTTGCTAGTTCAGCAAAGCATGGGATACTGTAGACTGAAGTCCAGTTGTGTTTTGTTTTGCTGTTTATAACTGTGCTGTTTACACAACAAAAAAGCTCTTGCTGTTCTTTGATGCTCATCAGTTTTGTCAGCCCTGTCATCTTTTTGCACTTTTTGCTTTTAGCGTTGTAAAACTGCAAAATCCACAATGCAGTTTAACCCTGTGCTACATGGCTTTTCATCCGGAGAATGGAGAATTGAGAATTCCACTTGACTGTCTGTTTCCATTCGCTTCAGAGCCCATTTTTGCATCCTGCCATCCTGAGGTTACATACAGTACAGAAGTACAGAACGATAAGAGCAGCGGTCTTTTTGTGTGTTATATTTACAGGTATATGACGCATTAATTGGAATGGTGAGCTATTTCACTTAAACACTTACAGTAGCTAATCCACTAAGCTCCAGTTCATGTTTGTAAGCAATTTTTGTGTAACTCAGTAAACCCTCTGTCGAACTGACAGCAAGAAGAGTAGAAGCGTGTCAGCAAATTCATTTTTGTACTTTTGTCCCGTATTTTGATTTCACCTCATGAGTGAATGTAGAGGCTACAGACATTTTCCCCAGCTTTGTTATGCCTCTGCCTGATTTCTGTCCTCAGGAATATATCTCTGAAGTGATGGTTTTCTGTGATCAAGTGTGTTTTTTTATGAGCTGAGGGAAGAAGAGTGCAGACCTGCCACTTGAACTCATCTGTCAGTATTTTGCTGCCGGGTCATGCCGAATTTGATCCTCCTGCCAAACTCTGTGACCCCTGCTTGAGTCCCACAGCACTTCACAGCACAAATGAATAATTAATTCACATTGAGGGCTATAGGTGGGGAAGAAATACCCCTTAATTCACTAAAACCATCTTTAGACAATGACCAATAACAATGTGAATTTGTGTTTTTGTCTTTAGAAGTTACTGAATTTTGAGCAACAGTTTAAATATATACAGTAAATTGACCGAACTACCAGATGCAAATAAGTTGACTGCATTTTTGTTATCCTTTCATCAGCCCATTATCAGGGAGCCTCTTACTGCTGGTTAATCACAATGCATTATTATTAATATAGTAAAGATTTAATTTACAATTATTATTAGTTCTATTGAATTCCTATGTATCTTTCAGGGACGGCTTACAGTACTTTCTAAATACTCAAATATTTGTAAAAAATATTTGTACAAAAATATTTGTAAAAAATTACAATCTCTCGATTGTAAAACAAGTGTAAAAAACAAGACAAAGTGAATGCAGAACAACATAGAATTATAATTTATCTTTATTTGACCAGGAATTTCTGTTCCTAGTTTTGCAGTCCGGGTTCTCGTTTGCTGATTGCATAGCCTTGCATGAAGCAGAGAGTCCGGTAGCTCCTGTGTGACCATTCCCCTGTCTCCCTCTAGGTGGCAGCAGTCCTCCAAGTCATCAGGCCTGTCCAGTAACCTGCAGCCCACAGGTGCCAAAGCTGATGCTCTCAGGGAAGAGATGGAAGAGGCAGCAAACAAAGTGGAGATTTGCAGGGTGCGCCACTCGCCTTCTCTCGGGCTCAGCCAGGGGGCGCTCATCAGCCACTTCCTAGTGAGAGGGTTGTCATGCCTTCCTTACGTGGACTATAATTACAATGGAATACTCTGATATAAATGCATGAATACATTGGACAGGGAAGAGTTGTCTGTTGCATAGTTTGCACTTAACTGTAATACGGTCTTTGTGGCTTTCAATTGCCAGGCAAAATAAAGGGCTTGTTACCTCCAAATACAGCTGCCTGGAGCTTTTGCCAGCAGAAGCGTAGTGGTGTTTTAACACAGAAGCCAGGTTCTTATGGGACTTATTTCTTGGTCTCTTCTAGGATCAACTATCAGCCGATATGTACAGTTTTGTGGCCAAAGAAATAGACTATGCAAACTACTTTCAGACAGTAAGTATTGGGGCCCCTTATCAGGGCTTTTATCCTTCAGTCTTTATTTTGACAAGCATTAACATACTTTTGAATCTAACCGCTATTACAATTAGTAATTAAATTAATAAAAATATTATCTGGGGTATCAGAACATACCTTTAGAAATGTGTTTGCTCCAGCAGTAGAGTGGAACTTTGATTGAAAATGGCAAAAGATTGTAAATGATGGACAAAACACAGAAAACTAATGTATAAAAGAAGGCAAGTGGCAGAGATTGAACCTATTTCTGGACCTACACTTTGTTAGGGCTTTTGTAAACTGATACTGAAGAAAGCTCTTGCCCACTGTTATCTGTCCACAGCTAATAGAAGTACAGGCAGATTACCACAGGAAGTCGTTAGCACTTTTACAGAGTGTCTTGCCTCAGATTAAAGCACATCAAGGTGAGTATGTTATGGTGCAAACTGCTCTTCCAGTTTGTCAGCTGCTCATAATGATGATCTGTTGTCAATTCACACAGTGCCACACCTCTGCACTTCTAACTTCATCACAGATGTCACCTAAATGTTGCACTACATTTTAGAAAATACATGCATGCTTGTTCATATTGAGTTTTTATTGATTTTATTTAGATATAAATACTGTATAATCTCATTCTGTGATCCCTCTGCATTGTCTAAAGCTCAGATACAATATACAGCTGTCAATCAGGGAGCAGCGCACACCTTACAATGCAAAGGGGTGGGTTATGGATCACTTGTTTCCACTCACAAGACCAGCCTTGGTTTAGAAGCTGCCACTTCCTCAGATAAGAGTCTTTCCAGCACTATAGCATGAGTGTGGTTTGTGTCACGTGACAGAGGCCTGGGTTGAGAAGCCTTCGTATGGCAAATCACTGGAGGAGCACCTTGCAATAAGCAGTCGAGAGATCGCTTTCCCCATCGAGGCCTGTGTGACCATGCTGCTGGAGTGCGGAATGCAGGAGGAGGTAAGAGGAATCTCGGTGACCAGCAAGTCATTGTCCCAGTGTTTTGCCAGCTGCATTCCAGCTGGATTACTAACGAGGAGTTAGTTGCTATTGACAATCGCAGCTCTTGCTTTGTAATTGGTAGAACAACGTACGTACAATTTTATTTAGGTAACGATACTAAGAAATCATAAAGGGTGTGGAATGGAAGAAATTAAATGTATTTTTCTTGTATTATTTATATTATTGTATTTGTATTTTTAACATGCAAAAACTATCAAAAGCGAAGCTGCCAGTCGCCGTAAAACATCAGATATATTATACATATAAATATGTCTAAAATCTGTTATTTATCATTCTTTTCCAGTTCAACAGGGGGGTGCAGTGGGAAAAAGAGGGGGGGGCAGAAATTTAGAAACAATAATGTGTTATCATTATTGGGTAGTGAAAAAAGAATAATCCTCCTCTCCCAAAATCTCCCAAACGCCTTTTTTTTGAGTCTCACAGTTAGTTTTTCCATCTGATAAATCTCTGAAACAATAGCAATTAGAATTTTCTTTCCGTGGGGGATCTCTTTGGAGACATTTATGTGTTTTAGCTTTCTTTCTCACTGCCAAAAATATTTTAAGCAGGTATCTGTATCTATCCAATCCCACAATCCCATCAGGTAAATTAAATGTATTGAAACTAGTTCTAGCATTTTTGTCCATTCGATCATGAAGGTCTCCCCTCACTCTGTGCTCTTTAATACAGTATGTTGTTTGGATCAGCCTTCTGGGGGCCTGACTGTGAATTCCTGTTACCAGCAGGATTTCTGCTACACCCAATGGAATTTGCTTAGGAATATGTTGTCCATATATTGTTGTCCATTGTTCCGACTTTAATTTCTGGAGCCTGTGGGTGTCGTGGCGACTGTGCAGCAGGGGGGCTGACTGATGTGGATTGCAATGAGCCCCTCCCTTTCTGTAGGGTCTGTTTAGAGTGGCGCCCTCTGCCTCCAAACTGAAGAAGCTGAAAGCCTCCCTGGACTGCGGGGTGTTAGATGTGCAGGAATACTCTGCTGACCCCCACGCTATTGCAGGTAAGACCCACTAGTGTTGCATGTGGCCAGCATTACTCTTATACCTATCCTGCACATGTTGCCCAAGTCTGCACATGTTTTTACCTGCATCTGATCGTGCAAATGGATAGAAGTCATCGGTGTGGTGCCTAAATATATAATAGTATTAGACTTGGCTCTCCGTTTTCCCCTTTGGTTAGTGTCATGTTTGATGTTCTGATTTGTCTTAGTGGCATCTTCCGAATAAAGTTCCAGTGGGAAAAAAGGAAATCCACAAATTAAACACGAGCTGACTTACAGTGGGATCAGCTGCTGGACTCATCCCTCTCCTGCTTTCAGGGTAACTGAAACAGGAACTCCATGGAGCTTTAAAGGTTAAGATAGACGAGCTCTGGAGCAGCATAATTACATTGAAGCCGTATTTCTGTACACTAAATCTGTAACAATTATCTAGTTAAACATGCTGATAATAAAAACCCACTGAGTCGAAACATTAGAAATCTCCTGAGGTTATGTCTCAGAAGGGGATGTCAGAACCTGTTAATTTTCATCTCGCCACAACGCTTTGCAGTACGCAGAGCAAATGAAGCTGAATGCAAAGCAAATAGCAAGTTCTTCATTAAAACCTCTAATTAAAGCAAAAGCCCTTCAGGTATGAAACGGTTGAATCATTTAATTTGTGAACTTGGGGGAAGCGTTTTCAAGATTTTCAACTAAACGCTTTAAATCAGCTGAGATGCTTTTTAAACCAATAACAGGAAATTCTTTCTAGTGCAGTGTCACTTCTTTCCTGTGTATCTGGAACAAGAGCTTACATAAGCAGGAGATTGGATAAACTGTAATTTCCATTCAAGCCATGGTTATGAGACTGCCGAGAGATCAGAGCCAGACTTGATTTCAGAGCAGTATATGACTTTTTCACTTCAAATTGGATGCTTTGAAGCTTCCTTGTCAAATGTAGGGATCTGTCATCAAGGTCTGTATTGGTGTAGGATGGATGTTCTAGATCTGACATGGTTTAGCCAGGCTGCCTGTTGTTTTCTGTCTCCCAGGGGCTCTAAAGTCCTACCTACGGGAGCTTCCTGAACCGCTGATGACCTTTGAACTTTATGATGAGTGGATCCAAGCTTCCAAGTAAGAGTGCAATACAATCCCAAATAATGATGTTCAGGAGCAAAGGTGCAAGAGGCCAGGGTTTATTTCATTATGCAGAGTCTTTATTTTGTTTACCTCTGAGGGACATGCAATGTCAGTAAGTGCATGTCTCTATTTTCTGTCATGATCGATGAGGAATGGTGTGCGAATCTCCATTATGAACATCTCTTTCTACCATCCCCCCACCACAGCATTCAGGACCAGGACAAAAGACTGCAGGCCCTGCTCTCTGCCTGTGAGAAGCTTCCCAAGGCCAATTCCAACAACTTTAGGTGAGCAAAGTTCTTCCTTGTTATTGTTCATTGTTCTGCCACCCTCCTGGTGTTCGTCTAGATTTGTTTCTGCTTTTCCTTGGAAAAGGATTCAAATTAAACAAAAACACAGATTGCAGATCGCTGCATAATCAGAAAGAGATTTTCACGCCGTTGGAATTAAAAAGTCAACCATTCAGCACTCAGCTGCGTTAACTCAAGACAGCCCTGTCTGTTAAGACCACTAGAGGAATGATCCTTGATAGCTAATTCATTGCAGCTGCTAAGTGAAGAAGACTATGAGAAGGTTCATAGGGTGTGGTTCAGGATTCACAAGCTCTCCTGTCCTTATATTTTTAAATTCCTGTCATTTCTATTACGAGAAGTAAATATGCTAATTATGTCAATAGGATGGACTTTTAGTGAAAGGGAGGACTGTTCCTGTAGGTTTATTACATGCCCTTGACATTGTGTAGTTTCTGCTCTGTGGCAGGATCTTATGGGCCTTGCATCTGCTAGCTGTGCTGTACATTCTGCTGAAGCAGGCTGTGAATGTCATGAGGAGAAATCCCTTCTGCTAGCGCTTTTAACCTAATGCAGTTGCGTTCCTGCTGTTCTTCAGAAAATCAAGAGCCTGTATATTGAGCTGCAATTCCACTAGATCCATATACAGCCCTTGCAACAGTAACGGTGTCTCCTGCAAGGATTGTTAGATACAATGCTAATAACCGGGACTATCGGAATATACAGAGTCGATAGACTTGACAGGATATACCAGTGTATACCAGGAAACAATCTGTAATTATTTGGGCAAGAACCACATTACGTACCATATTCACATACTTTATAGTAATCTACTGCATGTACTAAAGTTCTAAAGGAAATAAAACAGAGCAAGCCTTTTTAAGGTCAAGTGGTCATAAATGTAATAGTGCAATAGTTGATAGTAACCTTATCACTTATGTATTAGACCTGTTTTTATAACCAATACAAAATTTCAAAAATATTAAATGTTTTATCATTGTGCCTCATTTTTTTCTACAGATATTTAATCAAGTTCTTAGCCAAGCTTACAGAGTACCAGGATGCAAATAAAATGACTCCAGGAAATATTGCAATAGTCCTGGGACCCAATCTGTTGTGGGCGCAAACTGAAGGGTACGTGACTCATCGTGGTTCCATCTCGGCTTCTGCAGTAACGATTAATTAAAATTCCCAGACCTTTTGAGCTCTGCTGCATATAGATTGCCTGCTTAGTGATGCTGGTGAAATATTACAGAAACAGCAATGAAACAGGGCATTTTATCAAGGGAATATATAAAAATAATAGCCACTAAAATACAGTATCCAACAGATGATAATAAACTTATTATTATTTAAAAAAAACCCTTTTTCATTTACCATCACTAAGCACAAACTACTGTATGTGCTGATGCACAGTCTGAACAATTTAAAAAATGCATCCGTGGACAGTGGATGGAGATAAAAAAAAACATAAAGATCCCTGTGCTGATTAGATACACAACTATGTGACACATCTGTTTCAGAAACATCACGGAGATGATGACTACAGTATCCCTGCAGATCGTAGGCATTATTGAGCCCATAATCCAGCATGCAGATTGGTTCTTCCCTGGTGGTAAGGAAAGTCATCTCTGTGTACTGTATATCTGAGGGTGCAAGACCGTTGTATCTTATCTGAATCACTTCAGATTGGAGCAATCTAGGCTTGAACATGCTAGGGAGCTGCTGCGAGGGTCGAGTAGGGTGGCGGGAGGGACGAAAGAGAGATACTCAAAGGGAAGTCCTGGGTGCGAGACTTGCATACAGTACATAGGTGAGCAGAACTGTGAGTATGAGAGTAGAGTCTAACCTTCCTCCTGAACTTCTGTTATGAACACCAGCGAGCGCGGGATGGAGAGAGTGCTCTGTTGCTCAGTGCTCGTCTTGTTCTGCCTCGCTTCCTGTCGTCCTGCTGTTTGGTGCTGCAGTTGTACACCGTGTGGATTTCTCTTTCTCAGAGATCGAGTTCAACGTCACAGGAAACTATGGCAGCCCCGTCCACACCAACCACAACGCCAACTACAGCTCCATGCCGTCCCCAGATATGGACCACTCAGACCGCAAACAGCATGACCAGGCCCGGCGACCTCTCAGCGTCGCCACGGACAACATGATGCTGGAGTTCTACAAGAAGGATGGGTAGGGTTTCCCAGCTGTTTTGTTCCAGTTTCTATCGGCAAAGACTGTGGATAGAGTGTTTGTTTATTCAGTACTCTCTCCTCCCCCCCCCCCCCCCCCAGACATCCACATTTCCTCCTTGTCTT